CTTGCCAGATGTGGATAACCCAGGGACCGAAGGCCCAAAGAAATAGCTTATTTTATACACTTGGACAAAACAACCGAATTTCCAGACCACCCGTAGTAAGCAATTTCGTTAAAAGCCGTTTCCATCCTCTATCAATATCAATTTCTATAAGCAAGTTAATTAACGGGAAAGCGCAAGAAAATGTCTCTTTACTGTTGTAATATTTATACAAACATATATATACAAATTATTATACAAATATAATATATATTTTATATATATATATATATATATATATATATATATATATATATATATATATATATTTATATTAGTATATGATCATTATATCCTAAGAAAGGTACAATGGTTCGATCGACTTTTTCAGCTGAACTTTCGAGCTCAAAACTTTTGAGCTTTGTTTTTCCCTTTTTGCGTATTGCGTTACACACACATTTGCATTTTTCATGAAAATTAAGTTGCTCACATGGAATTAAAAAAATAAACGTTTCTGTTCCGTTGTATAACGGAGCAATTTCGTTAAAAGTCGTTTCTGCCCCCTACTCAAGTATTTCCTTCATGATCCACAGTTGGTCACCAAATGTCATTTCCCAGTCGTTTTTTTTATGCTATGCATGTTCCACCGAGAAAAGGTATTTTCCGGACAATTGTTTGCTACGGCTAATTCTTGGGACACTCGGATTCTTCGTGTGCGTCACCCAAGGGTGCGAGCACTACCTGCGGGCGACCCTTAGTTCGGGGCGGTCACTTTCATAATTTTGCAAACCAATCAGTCAGGACGACCGTTTCCCTCGCTCCTCGCAAGAATTGAATAATCCACGAATCCGACTATCTCAATTTTAGAACACACCCACACCGAGTTTACTTCCGAGAACACACAATACACAACAGGCAGTCTACCATCAACCCGAACGCAAAACAGTCTATTCGCTGAAAAATCTACTCTGAATCGGTGTTATGTTTGATATTCGAATATATTACAAGTTAAAGATAAAAAAAGGAAACACAGCTTATTATCCCTATCATCTTAAAAAATCGTAGGGAACCGCGTATATCAAATACGCGGAAAAACAGGCAGGAACCATCATCATCCGGAAAATGTACGAACATACGATATAATAGGAGAACGTGCTTACCGTCCCAGAATCGTAGTCAAACGTGGCTCTATGTGGGACATAGCGGCACTTCTTACGGCTATGGATACCTTTCCCATCTGTTGGCAAACGATGCCTATCGACATTACTGTCGCCAGACCATTTCCATGAGTGTGCACCGCCTGGAAAATAAAGAATGCGTATTAATCTCGACGTTTCTCTCTTTGCCGAGAAGACTTATTAACTCTCATATCCGAGCGTCTCGAACTAATTCGATTGGAATCGTTTACAAGAATACTCGTGGAACGTCGATGTTTCACGAATGTTCGTTCGTTCGACGATGTATACCGGGTGAACTGCTAATTTTCTCAACGAAATTCTTCTCTCTTCGTAATATATTATGACGGATATTATTATTTATTATTATTTATTATTATTATTATTATTATAAATAAATTTATTATTATATATTTATTATATATAATATAATATATATAATAATAATATATAATATAATTACATAATATAATTATAATAATAGCAATATAATAATAATAATAATAATAATAATAATAATATATTATATATTTATTCGTATATATCGTAATTTATTATTTTTTATTTATTAATTAACTCGATTTTATATTCCGATTAATATAAAAACGAGCCGCGAGCGGAGCAATTATTGTATTCCGACGATATCTTCTTGAAATGATACCCAAATTCTATGATATCGAGTGTTATAAACGTATCCTAACTCGCCTTTAAAAAAAATATTATATAAATATTATATTATTATAAATATTATATTATTATATACATATTTGTGCGAAAATTGCGTAAATAATTTTGCTTGATCATTTCTAATGTAATTGCACGAAAGCCATTAGTAACAGTGGAGACTCCCTTATCCGCACGTTTATTTATTACAATATTCTGGCATCTAAATGGTTTTGTCACCTAATCATCGTATTATTTAGGTAGATTATCACTTGGCAGAAAACTTGAATGAAATTGTTAGAAAATAGATTGTTTTGGTGTCAGGATATTACAAAAATAAACCTTCGGATAATTGTATTGAAAATTATTTGCTTCTTTTTAAGTATATAAAATTATATTATTATAGGTCTTCCCCTTCTTCGTTATTTCTGTTAAGTATCATTACCTTAATTGAACTTTTTGCTACTATTATTAGTAACAAAATTACTAAATTTAGCAATATTTTCAAGTCTGAACAAAAAGTGTACTTAAGGAAATATTCTAATGGCTACAATTCTGGCTGGAATTCTCGACGAATGTTAAAACAAATATTTATGAAATACAACGTATGAAACTTAATTGTAATGTGTACATGATCATATATCATGTGTACTATAAGGTACCGAATGACATGAACTGCGATATTATTTCACTGTCCCAATTAAATACGAAATCTGCATTCTAACTTTTCTTCACAAGAAAAGTCTTTCTCTCTGAAAGAAGAAAGTAAAGTACACGCAATCGCGTGTTGTAGTTAAGTTTTCCTTCAGGCCATTAATTTTGAAGATAAATAAGACAGTCATCGAGAAAATCGACGCGTTAAACGCGTCTCGCTCTCTTTAAACATCGTTAAAATGTTTGTATTGTCACATAAAAATAAACCATCGTAATTAGAACAGTTCACCATTTTTTTTGTTCACAATAAAGACTGATACTTGATAATGAGAACCGCTTATTAATTGACAAAATGAAAAAAAAATTAAAATTGTGACTATACTAGAGTCTTATAAATACAAGGTGTCCCAAAATTATTATACAAGCGAGAAATGAGAGGTTCCTGGGATCATTTGAGATAACTTTTTCCTCAGTGAAAATCCAATCCGCGGCTTCGTTTACGAGTTATTAACGAAAAACACTGACCAATCGTAGAGCGACCGCAGCCAGCGCTCCGCCCTTTCGGTCAATACCTCGTCACGTCGGCCGACTAACACAGCGACAGTGGTCGCGAGGGCGGGGCGCCAGCCGCACGCGATCGCTCATTGGACACTGTTTTTCGTGAATAACTCGTAAACGAAGCCGCGGATTGCATTTTCGCTAAGGAAAAAGTTACCTCAAATGACCTCAGGAACCCCTCATTTCTCGCTTGTACAATAATTTTGGGATACCCTGTATAGAACAATTCCGACTTCTCGTTTGTAATAATGGCACAAATAATAATTTTATTACATTGTAACTACCAACGACGAACATATCGCGTGATCTACGAACGAGCCTCCGCGCTCATCGAAAACAATATATGTAGCAAATAAACGTGTTAAATAGGTTAGTTAGTTTTTACATCTTCCGCCACATTACAATGTGTGTTTTGTTCCACATAGAAAAACGGAGAAACAGAGGAAATGGTAAATCGCGTAGAACTGAGGCTTAAATGTATTTCACCGCCGATGATTAGAGACCCAACGATTCCCGTTGTCGTTAATCAACGACACGGCAGGCTCGTTATTAAGAGACGTAAACTGCATCCGTGAAACTACGGTATTAGTAGGATGGAACGCGTTAACGAAGGATAGCTTTGCGAAAAGAAAGATCAGGACAATTCCGATTTACCCACATAAGGAAGCCGTTCCTGCTATTGGGTTGGCAACTAAGTAATTGCCGATTTGTTCAATGAAATACAATTTTTTTTTACTTGGATGACGTTTTGCCATCTCTCTGACAACTTGAAAATTCCACGCTCGTAGAAAGTCTGATCCTTTTCGGCCAAAAACTGAGTTAAGTGAGATTTCACAGCGTCATCATCATTAAAAGTTTTACCACGAAGGGAGTTGTCCAGGGATCGAAATAAGTGGTAATCCGATGGCGCGAGATCAGGGCTATATGGTGGGAGTAAAATTACACCTTTACGATTGACCAATTCTGGTCGCTTTTCCTTGACCGCTGCATTCAATTTGTCCAGTTGCTAACATTCACGAATAATAAAAAATAACATAATAATAATAATAATAATTTTATAATCTAACATTTACGGATATCATAAAAATGGGAGTGAGAGACATCTATAACTGAAATCGGCAATTACTTAGTTGCCAACCCAATATAATAACAAGCATTTTGTAACAGAAAATGCGTTTATGTAGATACATTGATCGCACAGATTTTTCATATTATTAAAATAAAACTGAAGCTCTACCGTCGAATATTATC